TGTATATTGGGATTCAGACAATAACTCTGAAATATCCACTTATGGGAAAAACTTAAAGGAAGTTGTACCTTTGCAGCATGTATATTGGGATTCAGACAATAACTCTGAAAGATACACTCATAGACAAAAGGAAGTTGTACCTTTGCAGCATGTATATTGGGATTCAGACAATAACTCTGAAAGATACACTCATAGACAAAAGGAAGTTGTACCTTTGCAGCATGTATATTGGGATTCAGACAATAACTCTGAAATATCCACTTATGGGAAAAACTTAAAGGAAGTTGTATCTTTCAGCATGTATATTGGGATTCAGACAATAAGTCTGAAATATACACTCATGGACAAAACTTAAGGAAGTTGTACCTTTCAGCATGTATATTGGGATTCAGACAATAAGTCTGAAAGATCCACTTATGGGAAAAACTTAAAGAAAGTTGTACCTTTGCAGTATGTATATTGGGATTCAGACAATAACTCTGAAAGATACACTAATGGACAAAACTTAAGGAAGTTGTACCTTTCAGCATGTATATCGGGATTCAGACACAGTGACTTTTAATGAATACACACGAGATAACCAAGTGTGAACAAAATTGCCTATGTCTCCTAAAAAAGACTTTCTACTTCCTTAAGTCAATGAATGTAATTAGTTACAAGATATAAATTGAGCTACAACATTTACTTTAAGAGATAAAGAACATGGCTATATACAAAACATTCATCTAAAAATTTGGTCCCTTTGAAAAGCCTAACAAATAATACTTGAGTATGATCAGGCACAATTTGAATTATAGATTATAAACACAAGGTAATAAGACCAAATCCAAATAAATAAATAGTGTGTGACGTTTCAGTAACAGCGTTGTTACCATCTTCAGACAAAAAAGTACTGAATGAGAAATTTTACCACAGCATGTTTTTTAACTTGATAACAGTAACTTTTTAAAAACATGCTGTGGTAAAATTTCTCATTCAGTACTTTTGTCTGAATATGGTAACAATACTGTTACCGAAACGTCACATACTATTTATTTATTTATTTGGATTTGGTCTTATTACCTTATGTTTAATACTTGAGCATGTCCTTTGGTGAGGTAGAAGGTCAAAAAATATATATATATTTTTTTTTTAAAGTGGAATCTAACACACAGCTACAGGGGAAAAAAATAATTTGTAAAAGAAAAAAAGGTAGAGATTTAAAAATTTTTAAAAAAGATTAAAAAATGAGGTATATATAAAGGATCATAAAGGTATTAAAAAATATGGATTGACACTCAATGGGTAACAAGACCATACAGTAAACTAGGTAGGGTTACCAAAAATGGGGAAGTTTATACAAGCAGGAACTTTTCATTTAATGATAAGGCACAATTTGGATTATAGATTATAAACACAAGGTAATAAGACCAAAATAAGTCTGGCTGCTACTCAGTAGTGCTCCCAGTCTTAATGACAAAGGCATTCTACTTCACCCAGTTGGAAATAAGAAAGAAGAAGACATTGGTATAATTTGTCCATTTGATCTTGTTATCTTTGGATGAACAATGATATATGGCAAGTTTTTTTTTTGGAGGATTAAGAAGTTTTCATACCAGTGATAAAGCACAATTTGGATTATAGATTATAATACAAGAAAATATGGTGATATAATGATGGTAACAATGCTGTTGCAGAAACGTCACACACTAATAAATTATTTGGATTCTTGTAAGTTCAATACCAGTTTGCACACAACACACAGTGTGTTTCGCATGCTCTCTTTCTTTTTTATATTTCAAATAAAAATAATTCCCAACAACTTTATTTCCCTCGTAGTGAGAACTTATTTTTTTAAAGAAAAAAAAAAAATTGTGCAACAAATGATCTCCTTTATACTAAAATAGTCAATTAATTAGAAAGTATCGAAAAGATAGAGGTTGCCTGGCCGGCATTCATATTTATATAAAAAATAGACACTTCGGCCAGTTGGAGTTTTTTTATTTTCTCAACGTTTCGACAAAAATCTTTTGTCTTCGTCAGGAGAAGTAAATAAAAATAAAGCATTTGGCAAGGCGTAAGAGGGTGTCCTTGAAAAAAAAATTAATGCCAATTATGATTTAAGTCCTGATTAATTAGAGATTGTGCTTTTTAATGAGAATTTCTAAGAGATAAAAATAGAATTTCTTTATAAAATATACCATGGGTAATTTCCAAGATAATAGTAACAATATAAACACAAGGTAATAAGACCAAATAAATAATGTGTACACACACCCTATTTATTTGGATTTGGTCTTATTACCTTATCTGTATAACCATTGTTATTTATAAATAAACATCTCGTTTATCTTAATTAAACATCATAATCATCACTACCATGACAATATTCTATAATTCTACAATGGCAAAGAACACTGCCAGTTTGATTTCCCTGGGGCAGAGGCAACAATATATACAGAGATTTGGAAGTCCAAGATTCTATCACATTGCATGCTTAAGTAACAAGACCAACTTTTTTAAAATAGTAAAAATATATATATTTGCATAATTCTAAATCTGCATTATAAAGTGGCTCGAAATTTTTTTTTATCTGAAATTTAGGAGAAATCAGAGACACAATGATAAAATATTACAATTCCGATATTAAGAAAAATTTTAGAAATTTGTTGAATATATATATATATAAAGATTTTTTTTTAAATAAAACTTTTTGTGTAGTTTTGCTTGTATATATATATATATGTAAATAGAAGCATAGGGCACCTCTCCTGTAAAAATAAACGTCAAATTTTGAAGCTTATTTTGAGGGGAGAGGTGCCTTATGCTTGTATGGATCACTTTCTTCCCGAAACATCTCTCATCTATCTATATATAAATAAATGTCACCACTTCAATTTTTCAAAGCAGGTCTATAAAACTGTTGTTTCTTATCCCCTTGTGTAAAAATTACATGAATTCCATAAGTTTATGCTCCTGGAGCTGACCTCATGGAATGGGATGTAGGGGTACAGCTTTCATTGATCATGGTACCATGATCCAGACACACTTTGGTGAAAGTCTGACTTTGCCTGTAATTTGAGGCCGTTCCTATAATGAAAGCAGATGCCACAAATAGTCTATAAAACTAAAGTGGTAATATTTATTTACTACAGATACCTACTGTGTTAGCAGTAAAAAAAATCATTTTTAAACATGAAAGTCGAAAAAGGAAACCCAATTTGATACTTTGAAAAAAAAGGGGGGGGGGGGGGAGGGGGACAAAGGGAGGATGCGCAGGATAAGTTGGTGATAAGGAACAATTTGGATTATAGATTATAAACACAAGGTAATAAGACCAAATCACACTATTTATTTGGATTTGGTCTTATTACCTTGTGAGGATAAGTTGGTAAAATGGGGAAGAATACATCCCCTCTGGTCAAACAAGTGGAAGTTGCTGATAGCACCAGCTATCGTGAGATCTACTTGGAAGAGGCCATTTGAGCAGCTGGCTTCTTGTTGTAGATCTTCAGATGTGGGGAAGAGAGATGTCTAGTTAAAAAGTTGGTGAGTCCTGAACAAACATTTGATTGATGGAACATATTTAGAGTATATGGTAAGACACACAATTTGGATTATAGATTATGATACAATATAATGCGGCTTATGATTGTAAAACGACATTGGAAAATATCCTGCATGAGTTTCTTTTAAATGAAAAGTCGAAATTTATTTTTAAGGAGAAATAACGACTATTTCTAACCTTAGAGGTGTGGTATGAAAGGATGAATTGTGAAGAGTAATGATAAAATATGGAAAAATATGTCTAGTGTAGCCTAGTGGACATGGCATCTGCCCGGTAAGCGGAACACTGTGGGTTTGATCCCATTCCTGGACACTTTTATTTTTCCATTTATCATTACTCTTTACAATTCATCCATTCATACCTCATCTCTAAGGTTAGAAATAGTTGTTATTTCTCCTTAAAAATAAATTTCGATTTCTCATTTAAAAGAAACTCGTGCAGGATATTTTCCAATGTCGATTTACAATTATAGATTATAAACACAAGGTAATAAGATACAAGGTATAATAATTTTAACCTAAAAGAAACAAAGATACTAGATTATAAGAAAAAATATTTTAAGAGACAATTTAAAGAAGCATTTTTCATTCAAAAGAAATGTGCTACAATTAACAGAATGGAAGAAAGAGGAAATATAAATGATATTTATAGATATGTTTTTAATTATATCTAAAAAAAAAGTAGTTTTTTTTTTTTTTCACTTTTAATTCTAAGAATAATATTCTGTTTCTCAGAAAACTATCTTCTTCTTATCTGTTATCTTGTTTACACACTTGATAACAGTAACTATTTAAAAACATGCTGTGGTAAAATTTCTCATTCAGTACTTTTGTCTGAAGATGGTAACAACGCTGTTACATAAACGCCACACACTATTTATTTATTTGGATTTGTTCTTATTACTTTGTTTATATTTAGAGTATACAATATACATTTGAAGATGAAGGTGATTTTTGCTCTTTTTCAATATCTTTCAACAATAAAACAGTTGAAACCCTTCCATAAAAACATCATTTGGAGGAGGGGGGGGGAACAGGATTATTTTGTTGCTATATAGCCACAATTGAAACAGTTGGGAGTTAAAAAAAACTTGGAATTATAAACAATGATAAACAAAATTTGGATTATATATTATAAGAAAATAAACACCCAATCCAAAATAAATTAATTGTGTGTGACCTTTCGGTAACAAAGTTATGTTACCATCATCAGACAAACCATTTTTTTTAAAGTCTTTTGTCTGATGATGGTAACAACCCTGTTATAAAAACGTCAAACACTATTAATTTATTTTGGATTAGGTCTTATTTTCTTTTAGAATTATAACAAGTTTCGATTTTTCGTTCAAAAGAAACACATGCGGGATAATTTTCAAATGTCGTTCTACAATCACAAGCCGCATTATATTGTATTATAAATTACATTATATATTATTTACTAACGGAAAAATATGTCCAGGGTAGCCTAGTGGACATGGAATTTGGCTGGTAAGCAGAACACTGTGGGTTTGATTCCCATTACTGAACACTTTTATTTTTCAATTTATCATTACTCTTCACAATTCATCCTTTCATACCTCATCCCTAAGGTTAGAAATAATCGTTATTTCACCTTAAAATAAATTTTGATTTTTCATTCAAAAGAAACACATGCGAGATAATTTTCAAATGTCGTTTTACAATTATAACGAGGTTCCACTACCTCATTATCTCTATTCCTCAAATCATATGAAAAAGCTTCCATTAGCACAGAGGAAGTTTTCAGGTAAATATCTTACTGATACCCAACACGCTGAAAGTGATAGGTGCTTATAGACCTTGAAATGGCCTTCTCCTTTAACAGATGGTGAAAATTTGATGGAAGATCTCCAATAACCCGGTTGAAAGGAGTCAAAGACACAACCAGAAGGTGTGCGAGCTGAAAGTGATGGTTACCAATAGATCAAATTGGAAAATATTTGTCCATATAGTCACCAAAAGTTGAATTTGATGCACTAACAACACCAACCATTCTATTGGTAATAACCAACCATTACTGAGAACGTTCATAAACACAAGGTAATAAGACCAAATCCAAAAGGTCCAAATCCATTTGGATTTGGTCTTATTACTTTGTGTTTATAATCTACTAGCCGAATGACCCAGGCAACGCCCTGGGTTTACCCGATTAAATGCTTTTATTCAAATACTATTTGTTACATTTATAAATTGGCGCCGTGGATGTTATTCTTGTATAATATATAAATGAGTTTTAAAAATTGTAAAAAAAAAAAAAATGCATCGGCCGGGAATCGAACCCGGGGCGCCCGCTTGGCAGGCGAGCATTCTACCACTGAACCAAAAGCAAACGGTGACAGAATTAAGAACGCATGATGATGATAACTGTATATTATCCGTGACAGAGGCCACGACAGACGGTCGTGACTATATATATTAATAATCCAAATTGTGCCTTATTTAGAACGTTCATGTTTAGTGTCGACATTGTGAGGTTCTACTGTTCAGAAACAGAACGTGGGATGTTAAAAATTTGGTAAGGGGCAGCGGTAACTACAAGTCATGGTGAAATGTGAAGTGAACATCAGAATAACTCCTGTGTGCTCAATAATAGAATATGGTTTTAAAATATTGGTAAACTCCACCTTTGCCGGTCCCAAGCCCGGATGAAAAAGGAGGAGGGGGAGCAGTAAAAAGCTCACTAAAAAACCTGGGCTCAGCTGGCCCAGCTGATAGTACCCTGTAAGGGCTCCAGGGATACAGGATGAGCAGCATTTGTACTCCATGTTAGGAGTGGCTGCACATGGCGTCTGTTCCTTATGTCAGAGACGGCCATTTCTTTTGGAGCTAAGTCGGCCTGCCACTGAGTAGTGCTCCCGGTCTTAATGACAAAGGCAGACACATTCTACTTCACCCAGTGTGGAGATAAGAAAGAAGAAGACAAGTTAGCAGTTCTCCTGTAATAGGACACCTCTCCTTAAAGGAAAATTTGGTTCTATAAATGGACATTATTCTTTAGCGAGAAGTTCTAATGTTCTTTCTATCCATCTGATTACAAAATTTTCAATCCTGGCAGGCTCGCATCGATAGAGAGATATTATTTATTTAAAAATAAAAGAACCTTAAATGAAATATATGAAATTATAATAGTTAAACTTATCTATAGCGCCCCCTCTTGGGACTCACCAAAATAGGATGATATAGAGAGGGGGTGCTATAGACAGGTCACTTTTAATGTAAATCGCATCGTACTACGTATTTAAAATCGAGCGCTATAGAGAGGGAGGCGTAATTTAGAGGGAGCGCTATAGACAGGTTTAACTGTATATATATTTAATTGTGTGTATTATTAATATAATATAGACATAATATATAATAACAGTAGAACCTTACTATAATAAAAACACTTTATAACCAAAATTTTATACTGTTGCTATAACCACTGGTTAAAAAAAAAACACAAATGTGGCACTTTAAAAATCTTATAACAATGTTGCTGTGATTATAACAAAGTTTACTGTGTATGAGTAAATGTATAAAACACTATATTCATGGCACAAAAATTAAGATTATGGATTTAACTTGTTAACAAGACTATCTACAAATGTTATATTGTAGGTTGTGTATACAGAGAAATGGCATCTTACAAACATCATCTTGGACAAAACTTAAGGAAGTTGTACCTTTCAGCATGTATATTGGGATTCAGACAATAAGTCTGAAAGATACACTCATGGACAAAACTTAAAGGAAGTTTTACCTTTGCAGTATGTATATTGGGATTCAGACAATAAGTCTGAAAGATACACTCATGGACAAAACTTAAGGAAGTTGTACCTTTCAACATGTATATTGGGATTCAGACAATAACTCTGAAAGATACACTCATGGACAAAACTTAAAGGAAGTTGTATCTTTCAGCATGTATATTGGGATTCCGACAAAAAGTCTGAAAGATCCACTCATGGGCAAAACTTAAAGGAAGTTGTACCTTTCAGCATGTATATTGGGATTCAGACAATAAGTCTGAAAGATGCACTCATGGACAAAACTTAAAGGAAGTTGTACCTTTCAGCATGTATATTGGGATTCCGACAATAACTCTGAAAGATCCACTTATGGGAAAAACTTAAAGAAAGTTGTACCTTTGCAGTATGTATATTGGGATTCAGACAATAAGTCTGAAAGATCCACTTATGGGAAAAACTTAAAGGAAGTTTTACCTTTGCAGTATGTATATTGGGATTCAGACAATAAGTCTGAAAGATATACACAGTGACTTTTAATGAATACACACAAGATAACCAAGTGTCAACAAAATTGCCTATGTCTCCTAAAAAAGACTTTCAACTTCCTTAAGTTTTGTTTATGAATGTAATTAGTTACAAGATATAAATTGAGCTACAACATTTACTTTAAGAGATAAAGAACATGGCTATATACAAAACATTCATCTAAAAATTTGGTCCCTTTGAAAAGCCTAACAAATAATACTTGAGCATGATAAGGCACAATTTGGATTATAGATTATAAACACAAGGTAATAAGACCAAATCCAAATAAATAAATAGTGTGTGATGTTTCAGTAACAGCGTTGTTACCATCTTCAGACAAAAAAGTACTGAATGAGAAATTTTACCACAGCATGTTTTTTAACTTGATAACAGTAACTATTAAAAACATGCTGTGGTAAAATTTCTCATTCAGTACTTTTGTCTGAAGGTGGTAACAATACTGTTACCGAAACGTCACACACTATTTATTTATTTGGATTTGGTCTTATTACCTTGTGTTTAATACTTGAGCATGTCCTTTGGTGAGGTAGAAGGTAAAAAAAAAATATTTTTAAAGTGGAATCTAACACACAGCTACAGGGGGGAAAAAATAATTTGTAAAAGAAAAAAAAAAGGTAGATTTAAAAAAGATTTTAAAATGAGGTATATAGAGGATCATAAATGAATAAAGGTATTAAAAAAATATGGATTGACAGTCAATGGGTAACAAGACCATACAGTAAACTAGGTAGGGTTACCAGAAAAGGGGGAAGTTTACACAAGCAGGAACTTTTCATTTAATAATAAGGCACACAATTTGGATTATAGATTATAAACACAAGGTAATAAGGCCAAATCCAAATAAATAAATAATGTGTGACATTTCGGTAACAGCGTTGTTACCATCTTCAGACAGAAGTACTGAATGAGAAATTTTACCACAGCATCTTTTAAATAGTTACTGTTATCAAGTGTGTAAACAGAATAATATTCTGTGTTTCTCAGAAAACTATCTTCTTCTTATCAGCTATATTGTTTACACACCTGATAACAGTAACTATTTAAAACATGCTGTGGTAAAATTTCTCATTCAGTACTTTTGTCTGAAGATGGTAACAACGCTGTTACAGGAACATCCCACACTATTTATTTATTGGTCTTTATACCTTATCTGTATAACCATTGTTATTTATAAACAAACATCTTGTTTATCTTAATTAAACATCATCACTACTACCATGACAATATTCTATAATTCTACATGGCAAAGAACACTGCCAGTTGGATTTCCCTGGGGCAGAGGCAACAATATATACAGAGATTTGGAAGTCCAAGATTCTATCACATTGCATGCTTAAGTAACAAGACCAACATTTTTGAAATAGTAAAAAAAATAGATTTGCATAATTCTCAATCTGCATTATAAAGTGGCTCGAAATTTTTTTTAACTGAAATTTAGGAGAAATCAGAGACACAATGATAAAATATTACGATTCAGATATATTAAGAAAAATTGTAGATATTTGTTGAGAATATAAAATATATATTTAAAGATTTTTTTCCTTCTCTCTTTAAATGAAAAATTTTGTGTAGTTTTGCTCATATATATAAATAGAAGTAATAGAGAACCTCTCCCGTAAAAATAAACGTCAAATTTTGACACTTATTTTGAGGGGAGAGGTACCTTATGTTTCTATGGATCAATTTCTTCCCGAAACATCTCTCATCTATAAATAAATAAATGTCACCACTTCAATTTTTCAAAGCAGGTCTATAAAACTGTTGTCTCTTAACCCCTTGTGTAAAAATTACATTAATTCCATGAGTTCATGCTCCTAGAGTTAATCTCATGGAATGGGGTGTAGCTTTGGTGAAAGTCTGACTTTGCCTGTAATTTGAGGCTGTTCCTAACATGAGTCCATGCTCCTTGAGCTGACCTCATGAAATGGGGTGTAGGGGTGCAGCTTTCATTGATTATGGTACCATGATCCAGACACACTTTGGTGAAAGTCTGACTTTGCCTGTAATTTGAGGCCGTTCCTATAATGAAAGCAGATGCCACAAATAGTCTATAAAACTAAAGTGGTGATATCTATTTACTACAGATCCCTACTGTGTTAGCAGTAAAAAAAATCATTTTTAAACATGAAAGTCGAAAAAGGAAATCCAATTTGATACTTTGAAAAAAAAAAAAAAATGGAATAAAGAGAGGATGCACAGGATAAGTTGGTGATAAGGCACAATATGAATTATAGA